CGCACCCCAAATTAGCGTTTATACTCTGGGCCTAGTACACCCAGCGTACCCACAGGTACGCCCAATGTATTAGGTGGTCTCCGCATCACATGCACGTTGACGAGTATGCTAAGCGTACACCTCAGGTACCCCCCACGTACTTGTTTTTCACTCTTGTTATAATAAGGACCAAAATAGACAACAGCTCAATAGATCAAGGTTCACAAGGTATACCTGGACTCGGGATGTTACAAATCTCCCCCATTAGAATCAGAATTCGCCCTCGAAGTCATGCTACTCAAATAGTTCCGGATACTGCTCTCGCATCTCAGACTCTGGCTCCCAAGTCCCTTTCCGATGTTGCCACTAAACCTGAACCAGGGTTAGTTCTTTGTTCCTCAAAACCTTCACCTTTCGATCCATAATTGCGATCAATCTCTTAACATAATTCATGCTCGCATCCAACTGAATGTCCTCTAGTGATACCGATGTCGTCTCATCGGCCACACACTTCCTCAACTGGGACACGTGTAGGGATGGAAACGGGGCGGGTTTGGTAATCCCATCCCCGTCCCGGAATATGAAAATTGATCCTATCACCAACCTGATTCGCAACGGGTACCCATTTACCAAACACTATCGGGTATGCAGGTATCCCAACGGGGTAACAGAGATCCCTGTTTAACATTCAAATTAAGAATAATTTTGATGCAATGAGAATACAAAACCATTAGACTTAGTGATTCAATCATAAATTCATACCCAAAATAATTATGATAATTTATAAAACCATTAAGAGCAGACATGTTTGTTATGATACATAAGTGGTTACTAGTGGCAAAAAAACAATAAAGACACTTGCATTCATAAGTCATAATATCACTATTACTCTAAGTACTATGAATAAAAAATGTCAAAACACTAACACTACAAATAAACATGGAGCTATCTCAAGAAATTATCTTTAATTCCTTCACAACAAAGAAGATAACTCAAGCAAATTAATATATATATATATATATATATATATATATATATATATATATATATATATATATATATATATATATATATATGAACGGTTTCTGGTAACGAGTTTTGGTTTCGGTTTCGGGTAATCGGGATGAATATTTTGTTTACCATCCCCGTAACCAAACCCACAAAATTTTTCTAAAAGCATACCAAACCCTATCCCGGCTCGATTAACCGACCCAAACCCTGAACCTAATATGTCGGTTTTCGTTTTTCACCATCGGGTTCGGTTTCTTTTGCCATCCCTACACACGTGGAATGTGTCATGGATATTGCTCAACTACACAGGTAGCTCTAAACGGTACGTTACCTTACCCACTCTAGCGGTCACCCTGAAAGGACCGATGTATCGGGGCCCCAGATTGCCCCTTTTCCTGAACCGTATCACCCTTTTCCATGGGGATACCCTCAGGAGAATGAAATCTCCAACTAGAAACTCAAGCTCGGATCGTCGTCTGTGCGCATAACTCTTCTAGCGACTCTGAGCCGTCAGTAACCTCTGCCTGACCTGCTGAATCTGGTTTATCATCTTTAGCAGTATCTCAGTGCTACCCATCATTCGCTGCCCCAACTCTCCCCAACAGATGGGGTTCCGACACCTCCTCCCATAAAGAAGCTCAAAATGAGGCATACCGATACTGGAATGGTGGCTGTTGTTGTAAGAAAACTCAACCAAGGGTAGATATGCGTTCCAACTTCCACCGAAGTAACACATGCTCGAAGCATGTCCTTGAGCATCTGAATTATCCGTTCACTCTTTCCGTCTGTCTGTGGGTGGTAGGTTGTACTAAAATGCAATCATGTTCCCGAATCCTCATGGAACTTGTTGCAGAATCTGGAAGTAAAACGCACATTCCGATCTGACACTATAGATGTCGGCACCCCATGCCGAGCTACCACCTCTCTCACATATATCTTTGCCAGCCTCTCCGCAGAAGAGCTCTCACTGATGGCAAGAAAGTGAGCGCTCTTTGTCAACTGGTCCACAATCACCCAAATCGCATCGACACCCCGCACGGTTCTTGGCAACTTGGTGATAAAATCCATAGAAATTTGTTTCCATTTCCACTGGGGAACCTCCAGTGGCTGCAACTTGCCATGAGGATGTTGGTGCTCGGCTTTAACCCGACGACACGTCAAGCACCTCTCAACTACCCAAGCAACGTCTCTCTTCATACAGGGCCACCAATAATCTCTCTTCAAGTCTAAGTACATCTTAGTGGCCCTGGGGTGGATCGAGAATCTTGATCTATGCGCCTCATCCATCAGTTTACGTCGAGCTCAGCCCGTATAGGGCACCCAAATCCTCCCTCGAAAGGTTATAAGCCCCTGAATGTCTGTCACAAACTCAGACACCTGCCCTATCACTTGCTCCCTCTTGTGGTTCTCCAGTCTCACGGCCTCCACCTGGGCCTCTTGAATGATATCTAAGATTGGAGTCATCACTTTCATCCTCAAACACACGTCTCGGATCGGGTACCGCTCAGGGCGTCGGCAACCACATTAGCCTTGCCCAGATGATACAGAATCTCACAGTCGTAATATTTCACCACATCCAACCGCCTTTCTCATGTTAAGGTTGGGTTGATCCATAAGATACTTAAAAATTTTATGGTTCGTGTATATATTACACCTAACCCCATACAGATAGTGACGCCGGATGTTGAGGGCAAACACCAACGCCCCCAACTCTAGATCATGGGTGAGATATCTAGTCTCCTAAGGCTTCAACTGCCTCGATGCGTACGCTATTACGTGCCCTCTCAGCATCAGCACCGCACCCATACCTGAAATAGATGCGTCGCAATAAACCACAAAATCCTCCATTCCTTCTACAAGGGCTAACACGGGAGCCTCGCATAATCTCTGGCGAAGGGTCTCAAATGAGGTCTACTGCTCGGGTCCCCAAGTAAATGCGACACCCTTCCAGGTCAAATTGGTGAGAGGGAAGACAATCTTGGAGAAATCTCTAAAAAATCTCCGATAGTATCCGGCCAGCCCCAGAAAACTCATGATCTTAATGGGGGATCTCGACACCTCCCATCTCATAACTGCCTCAATCTTGGCCGAATCGACCAAAATATCATTCTGATTAATGAGGTCTCCCAGGAACTGGACCTCTTGTAACCAGAAATCACACTTGGATAACTTGGCATAGAGCCTCTCCGAAATCAGTACACCCAGAATCTCTCTCAGGTGCTCCTCATGTTGCTCTCTGGACCTCGAATACACCAAGATATCGTTGATGAACACAATCACCAATCGATCTAGCATGGGCCTACACACCCAGTTTATTAGATCCATGAACGTCGCCGGTGCCTTGGTGAGCCCGAAGGGCATCACCACGAACTCATAATACCCATAACGTGTCCTGAAGGCCATCTTCGAGACATCCTCCTCGCGGACTCTCATCTGATGATACCCAGACCTCAAATCGATCTTGGGAAACCAAGATGAGCCCTCCAACTGATCGAACAGATCGTTGATCCTTGGAAGTGGATAACGATTCTTGATCGTCAGCTTGTTCAACTCCCGGTAATCAATGCACATCCAATGTGAATCATCCTTTTTCTTAACAAAAAGGATTGGAGCTCCCCACGGTGAGCTACTTGGTCTGATAAACCCTTTCCCCAGCAGCTCCTAGAGTTGTGAGGATAACTCATGCATCTCCGGTGGCGCAAGGCGAAAGGGTGCCTTGGCAATAGGAGCCGCACCCGCCAAAAAATCGATCCGAAACTCTACCTGCCTCTCGGGAGGCACACCCGACAACTCCTCAGGGAAAACATCTGGAAACTCGCACACTATCAGAACCTCTAAGATGGAACTTGACCGCTCCGCTCTAGCCCGCATATCTATCACATACGCCAAAAATCCCATACATCCCAGCTGTAAACTCTGCCTCACCCTGGTAGCAGAGCAGAATGTTGATCCAAATTTAGTACCCTCATCGTATACCGTAAGTACTCCTGCACTAGGGTCTCGTATAGTCACCAGCTGACGCTCACGGTCGATCACAACTCCAAATTGACTTAACCAGTCCATGCCCATGATGACACATACATCCCTTATCGTGATCAGCACCATATCTATCAGAAACTCAACTCCGAAAGTCTCAAGCACACATCCTCTGATCACATCAGTCGCAAACACCACATGCTTATCGGCTATGAAAACTCTCAGAGGTCGACTCAACGCCTCTCGATGGATACTAGGTGACGACTAAAAGCTAATGATACAAAAGACTGACTCGCACCTGAGTCAAATAACAGCAAGGCAAGCACAAAAGTCACAAGAAAAGTACCTATGCACAATCCCAATATAAGCACAAAATATCTAAAAAGAATAATATAAGAATACGTACCAGCTACCTCGTCAGGTGCTGCACGGACCTCCTCCGCTGTCAGCTGAATGGCTCTCCCACGAAGCCTCGGTGTCTCAACCTTCACTGGCCGGCTCTCAGTAGCACACACAGAAGTAGGTGTAGATCCATGGGCTGATCCTTGCATGATAAGTTCATCCTCACATGATGAACTATCATCGTTAACTTCCATTACTATTTTCCGAATGTTTGGATTCATTTTAAAAAGAGAGAAACGATAGAGAGAAAATGAAAAAAACATATATATATATATATATATATATATATATATATATATATATATATAAAATATAATATAATGAACCAAGTATATATATATATATATATATATATATATATATATATATATATATATATTGAACCGATGATACATATAGAGAATCTTAATAAAAGGGAAAATAAAAATAAAAAAAATAAAAACAAAAATAAAAACATAATAATAATGTGAAAGATTCTCCACTCAAATTATGTCGACATTTTCAATTTCACGGGTTCTCCAACTCCCAACCATACTTAACTTCAATTTCACGTTTCCTTTCAAGCACCGTGCACAAAATATCTCCAGTCAAATGATCATGCGGCCAGAGAAAATACTCCATATCTCGGTTGTCTATCTCCCAATACAATAATTGAGCTTTCCGTTCTTCGTCAGCTTCGAAAATGCACAATTTTTTTCTCGGTACCATTGTCTTTGTTCCGCCTCTATTTTGGTTGCAATCTTGATGCCGAAAATTTGTTTGATGAGATAAAACATTTCATTTTCTGTTGATGATGTCGATGCGACTTTCTTTCCTTTTCTTCTTCTATGAGGCGGTGAGTCTTCAATACTAAACGACTGTTGTTTTTTGGGGGAGAATACATGAGGATATTGTGGATCGGAAGATGATATGCATGCATTGAAAGAAGATGTTTTGATTTGTTTTGAAAGAGGCGGGGAGTCGTCACTAGCTTTTGTAACTAATTCCCATTTCGTTTTGTTGTTCAACCACTCCCAAGCTTCCTGATGAGGAAAACCTTTCTGATCAATAGTCCTCCGATACTCACTTAGTGAAGATTGCAAAACATCAGTCTCAGATCTCCCGCTAGCCACACTGCTCATCTTACAGTTATAGATGTTGAAAGCGTTGCATTTCTTTTAGAGGTCTTTCTATTTTTTGTTTATTTGGTGTCGTGACCGATCAGAACCTCCCTTCTAAACACTAAATGCTCTAGAACCATGTCCTAAAATGCATCGAACCTTTGTTGATTTCAACATTGACTATATTTAGAAACATCGATATATGCCCTAGCCAAAGCCAACTCTTCGCCTTCCATCAAGTTCTTTCAGTTATGGCGTTGTGTATAATTGCATTTTTTTCTCAGCAATGGGTTACAACTTCTCGTTGGTTTCTTATTCATTTTTTCGGGAGTCGGTTCGTCACTAGAACTATCAGATTCTACATTTTAATCATCATAGAATTGGAAATTCTCGGGTTGAGAAGATTAGAATTGGATTTCTGGAACCCTTTGAGAAAATTGATTCCATGGGTTATAACTTTGATTTTTCTTCTGGAAGCCTAAATGTGTTGTAAGTTTGTTGCACTGGAAAATATTTTTGTTGGTAGTTTTGGTTTTGTTCATAGTTTTGGTAGTTTTGGCATTGCTGTAGTTTGGATTTTGAAAATCTTGAGAAAAAAATATAATATTTTGACTTGAACCGCCTTGTGTGGCTTTGCGTCTTTGGCTAGAACCGGTTTGTTTAGCTTTGCCTCGGGAATTCATTAAATGTAACTGAAGAAATTGAGTGAAGTGGTAGTTTTGATATTGTATATACTTTTGGTTATATCTGTTCAATTTGTATAGCATACAATATATATATATATATATATATATATATATATATATATATATATATATATATATCGTTTTTTTAAAGAAAAAAAATCATGCAAAGATTCCTGCAAAAACCGTTCCTTTGACTCTATCTGCCTTAGTAAGTCATTTTTTATTTTAAAGTAAATTACATGGATGGTCCTTTAGCTTTACAGTTTTTCCATGATATGGTGCCTACGAAACTTTTTCCCTGAGATGGTCCCTATGGAGCAAACATTGCACACAAAGGGTCCTAATGACTAACTTTGTTAAAATATCCTGTTAAGTATATGTGAAAGACCAAAATGTCATTTGTTTTTATATTTATTTTAATATGTTATTAATTTGAAATAAAAAATGGGGCTTTCTCTTTCTTTCTCTCTCTCCCTCTCTCATTATATTAATCCTTCTGTCTACCATCACCTCTCTCCCCTTCCTGTTATTCTTCACCACTGGTCAAGGAAGAGGCTGCCAGCCACTAGAACCGCCCCTTCCTTTCTATTTCTGTTGCAATCCAACTCCACAAACATTGTAACATCTGAGCCTTGGAGGTTCTTATTTATTGATTTATAGCTTGTGGATGAGCTTCACAACGTGAGACATGGTGGTCACATCGTGTGTGACTGTTGACTAGTTGACCCATGTTTTCGAGTCTCACGACGTGAGAGTTTGGGTGCTTAGGACGTGAGAACGGTCTAATGACCAAAACCCTGATATTTTGGGTATTTAATGGAATGATAGGGATAGGGTTGCCCATCCTTAGACCCCCTCACTCTCTTGCCTCCTCAAAACCCTAATCTCGACCTACTTGAATTCCTTAGCCATTTTGTGTTATTGAAGCATTATTTGGTGGTTTTTGACTCATTGAAGTGGAAGAAGACCTTGGTGGAGAAACCTGTTGGCAATCTAGCTTCTACTTATATTCTTGTAGAGCTTTTGGATCATTGTAAGTCATAAAGCTCTGGCCTTTTTACCTCTTGCATGCTAGATCTAAGTCTTAAGATCCTTTTTGCATGATTGTGAATAATTACCTTCATGGGATCCATAAAGTTGGCAACTTTATGGATTACTGAGGCATCTTCTATGGTATAATCTTTGGATCCGAGTTTTGGTGTAGTTTTAAACTCCAAGCATGAGTCTTGATCTCATTTTCCCTTTTTTACCTAGTGAGTGTTTGATTCATGCATTGGACATGCATGACTAAAAAGCTATGATTTTTATCATCTTTTGGGTGAAGGAAGACCCTCTAGACGGTCCCAAGTATTGGCTGAAAGGAATAAGAGCTTAATGCTCAAACTTAGCCAATGTAGTGCTCACGACGTGAGGAACAAGCATGTCATGTTATGAGAATGCTTGTCATCCCGACTGTTATGTCCGGATTGAGTCACGATGTGACTCATGGAGTGGACACGACGTGAGGGTCAACTGTTGGAGTTTGGATCGTTGACTCGCCTTAGGGTTCTCTAGATGGGTTGGGCCATTAGTGGGCCTAGTTTGGACTTGGGCCATTATTAGGCCTCATGATTATGGGGTTAACCTTAGAAAGTAACTAGGGTTGGTATTGATTGTGTTAAGCGTGAGGAACCGTTGTGCAACAGACTTGGGTATGAGATTTGTTATCTTCTAATTGAGGTGAGTTTTCCTCATTGTACGTGTGGGTTGAAGGCACCAATGCCGACCCACTAGATTCTATGTGTTAATATATAGGATGTTGTTATGTGGTAGCGATCTTCCTTTTTGTCTGTTGACTAGTTATATGATCATCTATTGTTGGATATATGTTATTTGTTCTGTATATGTCAACATGTTATATTGGGGTTGAGACTACTGCTTTGTGCTTATAGTCAATAAATCGGGCAATCTAACCGTAAGGTTGTGGGCCAGGGGTAATCCAACAATGAGGTTGTGGACCCGTTATATAATGGGCAATCCAACCGAAAAGGTTGTGGGTCGGGGCATTCCAACCGAAAGGTTGTGGGCCAGGGGTAAGCCAACCGGGAGGTTGTGGACCCGATGCCTGTTGCGTATATGTTATGTGTATTGGTACTTTGGAGGGATTTACTAAGCTCTAGCTTACAATTTCAGTTTATTATTTTAGGTACTTCAAATGACCGTGACAAGGCGAAGGCGTGACCCTGCACATCCTTCAGTTTTATGTTATTTGGATTTTGGGATACTCTGATTACATAAACATAGTTTTGAAACAATGGTTTTGTGAACATTTATGATTTTGGGTTATTTTGTAAAAGTTAAAATTTGTTGTGATTTTGGAATGTTACAAACACCCCTACGTTTGTTGTTGTCCCCCTCGATCTCCGCAGCCCCGCCGAAAGGCTTGGTCGCCGAAAAAACAAACTAGAAGAAAGGCGGTTGTTGCCTTTAATCTGGCACCCTCCACCTCCTTCTCCAGTCGAGTAGCATCACCCCAAACACCCTATGTGTTTTGTTCTTCCCGGTCCTTTCCTCCCTTTCTCCTTGTGTTATATTACCAAACAAAGAAAGAAGAACCGATAAGGGAGCTGCCATAGCAGCCCCTCGCCAACACCATCGTCAATGCGAAAACCACCAACTGCCACCTTTCCATCTTCATACTCTAATCGACAAAACCACTAGTGACCATTCCTTCCATTTTCTTGGTGGCTCCTTGAACCTTCGATCCACCTGCTTCCTTTTCCCCTCGATTAGTGGTCGCCGACGATGAGGAAAGAACTACAAAGGGTCGTCGGAGGTCGGCTGCCTCTCCTCGCGATCTGCTTGACCACCGGTGCTTCCCGATCGCCACTTTCCATTCGTGTTTCTTTTTTTTCTTTTCCGATTAGAAAATAAATGAGGAGCATTTCCCCATCGTTTATGTTGTTGGATCTCTAGTGGATCTACCATCGATGCTTGAGCTAAGGATGTGTGTGTGTGTGTGTGAGAGAGAGAGAGAGAGATAGACCATTTGTGTACAAAGAACAAATGATATTTTTGTCATTTACAATTACTTAATAAAATCTGTTAAGAAAGTTAGTCATAAGGGCCTTTTGTGTGCGATGTTTGCTCCATAGGGACCGTCTTAGAAAAATAAATTTCGTAAGAACTATATAAGAAAAAACTATAAAGCTAAAGCACCATACGTGTAATTTGTTCTTTATTTTAGACAAAACTACAAATTTGGTCATTGTGGTTTGCAAAAACCTTTGGACGAGGTCTAAAAAGTTTCTAGCTTGCATCGAAGGTCCAAAATCAAAGTTTTTCATTGTTTATGGTCCAAAAAAACTTGAAAAATCGGTTTTACCCTTTTTCATTTATTTTTTTCTATTTTCTATTTTATTTATTTATTTTTTCTATTTTATTTATTTATTTTGGTATTTAAATAATTAAAAAAATTAAAAATAAAATCTTACCCAACACACACACACACACACTCTTTCTCTCTCTCTCTCTCTCTCTCTCTCTCTCTCTCTCCTTTTACCCTTATTTGTCGTACACTATCGTTCTTCACCTTCTTCATTCTACCGTGACTGCCCTTCCTAAAAAAACATAATTTCACCATAGTCGTATACCACCAGCCTCCTACTAGCAACTATCTGTCTTCTTACTATCGTTCTTCACCTTCTTAGAATCATTAGTTCTTAGATCGGATTTAACGGTTTAGGGTTTTATGCTTCCTCGATTTGGTCACTGAGATTGATGAAGCATGAATGACACATGTGTGGATCATCGATTTGCAGGTTACAATAGAAGAGGGAGATGAAGGTTCAAGTCAACAGTTGAAGTTCATAGGAGTCACCACCAATGTCCTCTAAATTTGTGTTTATCTTCTATCCTCACAATAAAATCGTAGCAGAAACCATTCAACAACCCCATTCACCAACCTTCACCACCACTCATTGATTCCGCTATTATAATCGATGATATTACGACATTTTTTTGAAAACAAATTGTCACATGGATTGGTAATAGAAGAAGGGTTTTAGAAAGAGAAAAAGGGAGAGAGGAGGAAAGATTTTGGGATGAATGGGTTTTGATTTATTCTTTGGTTATTATCGTTGGTATGTATAGTTTATATTCGATTTCATCCACAACTTTGAACTCTGCAATCTTGTTCAAACGACTTTGAATTGATGATTTCAGTTACTTCTTCAGGAGAAAAAGCTTAGGGGTGGGATGCATAAGAAATCGATATATATATATATATATATATATATATATATATATATATATATATATATATATATATATATATATATATATATATATATATATATATATATATATTCTGGACTCAATCCTGTTGATGAGATTGTTTCTAATCGATGTGAGTGCTTTGCGTTGGAATATGAATATGTGTGTCTGTGTGTTTGGCTTTCAATTTCTTTCTATGGCTTGATTTTGGCTTTTGTTCATCAATTTGGGGATATCTTAAGAAGATGAAATCCATGAGATTTGAGAAGACGAACACACACACACACACACAGAGTGGGGTGGGGATACTTTTTTTTTTTTTTAATTAAAATATTATTAGAATAATTATAAAAAATACAAAAAAGAAAAATAAAAGTGCCTAATCGTCCTTTCAAAAAATTTTGGACCAAAATCACATAAATATTTTGATTTTGGACATTCGATGCAAGTTCCAAACTTTTTGGATCTTATTCAAAGATTTTTGAATACGAGTTTTGTCTTTATTTTATAAGTTATCCCTTATCATCAAAACTACTTATTTCGATATTAAGGAATGGACCAATATACCCCTTCACTTAATACAAGGTTTTCGTTCGAATCTTCACCAGAGAAAAACACAGCGCAGCCTCCATTCTTCTCTCGTCGCCTCCTCAGGCGATTCCCGATTCCTCGCCGCCGACTTCCATCGTCGGATACCGTCGCACCCACAGCACCGGCGACCGTCGCACACCACAGATACGATTCAGGTACGATTCTCTTCATCTTTTCTTGCTTTCGTTCAACTGCATTCTGCTGCTATCGATTTTTCTTTTTCCCCTGATTTCAGTCGAAATCGAAATCTTTATGATGTCTTCTATTTTTAGATATACAATGTTTTCGTTCAACTCCATTTTTCCTGTTCTCGATTTTCTTGTTTCCCCTGATTTCAGTTAAAATCGAAATCAGTTTGTTGCCTGCTGTCACTGCAATGCTGTATCCGTTCAATTTCTCTCTACCGGTCATAATTGTTCAACTGTTTCCTACTTAAATAACCTTCGCCAAACACCCTCTTGATTTTTTTAATTAATATACTCTTTGACAGAAACTCACATAACCAGCAGCCGCACTCCGCCGCCGTCGTCTCCCGCCATGGGAGCTCTCCCCGCTGACTTCGCTTGGACCTCCGAAGACGATTTCAAGTTGAAAACCGCTGCACAGGTAAGTATTTTAGTCTACATTTATATGTCTCTTTTGGTTAAAATTTTCCCCTCAATTTATATGACAATTTTGTTATTATGTTTATTGTTATAGAGTGGTGTCCCCTTGGAATCAATAGCTACAGGAGCTGTAAAGTTTTCAAAACAGTTCACCATTCAAGAGCTCCATGATCGTTGGCATGCTCTACTCTATGATCCAGTCATTTCTGCTGAAGCATCTGCTCGCATGTTAGAATTCGAGTTTTTTGCTTTATCTAAACTTTCAATTTTTAATGATTTAGACAATCTTGAAGAGAATATTTCAGTCCCTAGAAAGAGAAAACCCGAGGGTGTACGCAAACGTTACTATGCTATGCGAAAGAGAACACGTATTCATCCATTAAATCCACTGGATCCCAATTTCCCTGATGCATCTTTTAATCCCATTTGTATTGAAAATGAAGAACAACCTCCACCCACATACTTTGTTGCTCAAAACAACGAGGCTGATACTGATTATCATGCTGACATGGATCTTGATGTTAATAATCAGCAAACACTTAATCAATGTTTCATTGAGGAAGACAATTATATTGAAGAATCTGATGAATTTAAAGAGATTTACGACTTACTTGAAGATGAAGGACCAGAATTTCCATCCATTAATCCCGAAACCCTAAATTTACCACATCCTAATTCATCTGAATTTCATTTCAAAGAACAATCAATGGCAACAACATCAAATTTTCATGTTAAGATAGAAAACGAAATGTGTGGTGACATAAACGCCAACAACTATTTGATGGAAATATCAAATACCCTTTTTGACCTTGGTGAGGATGACCTTCCTCCATTGGATGCTGATGGAAACGTAATTGACAAATCTTATATCGATGGTTTGAGTTCACTTTTGCTTGATTCTCCTAAAAGAGACATTAATTGTGATTCCATTGTTGAGGAAAGTAAAAGCTTGGAGGGTATTTTGGGTATAATGCTGCCATCTACAACATCTGTTGTGAATTGTAAATCACATACTTCTGTGATTATATGCACTTTGAACACTGAGGATCCAGATATACCAAGTAATGATGATGTTTTTCTCCTTCCATTTTCATCTCCTTATGCAATGCAAACAGATATTCCTCATTCTTCACCTCATCAAAATTCAAACTCTTTTAGGGATTCTGTACCTAATTGGAAAAACGAATTTAGGGTTCCTAAATCAATACCCCAAAAAGATACCAAATACCAAAAATCCCAATTTGATACTCCAATTATTGGATCACAGTTGCGAACAGAAACACTAGGAGATCATAGAATCAAACAGGATTTGGTCAATAATGATGGTCAAAGTCAAACCCTAGTTCATCCAATAGCTATAAAATCTGAGCAGGAATTGCATCATGGTTCTGATATTTTTACAAATTGTGTAAAGTTGAATCCTGGTCAAGAAGAAGAAACATTACATGAAATAGACTCAAAAGAAGTGGATAATCCTATTGTGTTACAGTTGTCAATAGATGATGACATGTCATCTGTTAGTGATGACGAGGATATCCCGAGCTTTTCTGACGTGGAAGCAATGGTAATTCTCCTTCGTTAAATTATTTCTTAAAAAATTTCCATATTTGATTCACTTGTTACAATTTCGTTTTTTCTTTTGTAATTTTGTAGATACTTGATGAGAAATTGTGTGAAGAGGAAAAGAGTTTATATCTAAATGGAAATTGGAGTTATCGAAATCTACAAAGTATGTTACTCTATGATATTCTCATTGTCTATGGTTATTTAGTTTTTTAAGATTTTAAATAATAATCTTATAAGCTCAATTTTCAGCCCTAAAATACAAAAATCCAAATTTTCAAAGAAAATTCATTCGATTGGAACAAGCTGCCAATGGTTATATGAAAAGAGACATGTCATCATCGGGAGCTTTTGCTCTTTTACAAGGGTGGCAATTTATATATCATGTTAAAAAACCCGAGGTATTTTCATTTTTCATTTTTCATTTTTCTTTTTTCACAATGTTTAATCTGTATATATATTTTTTAATCGCTAATTTTATAAATATTGTTGTAATTTAGATTTTATTGGGAAGGGCAACGGAAGATGTTATTGTTGATGTTGATTTGGGAAGAGAAGGTAGTGACTGTAGAATATCTCGACGACAGGTAAAGAATTAAATTACTTTTTTAAAATGAATAAAACGATAAAATAATCATTAAATCATTCGTATTTAATATTTTATTTCAGGCGATTATACAATTGGATCGGGAGGGTTTTTTTCATATAAAGAATCTCGGGAAATATTCAATTTTTGTAAATAGTGATGAACTATCAACCAATCAGAGTGCTTCTCTCACTTCAAGTTGTTTAATTGAGGTATGTTTTAACTTTTTACATTCGGTTACATATTAAACAGTTATTTTATCTAAAAAAGTGCAATAATAATAAACATTATATTGAATTTGGGGGATTTAACAGATAAGAGGAATGCCATTTCTATTTGAGACTAATGAAGAAAGTATAAAGTCGTATGTTGAGAGCATGAAGAACAAAAGTGATGTGGAGGACTAATTTTGAGCTTCAATGACTTTTGAAGGTGCTACTTTTTAACTGCACTTTCTGTTCTTCTGGTCATAATGGGTAGAGTATTTTACAAATTTGGTCCCTATGCTTTACTCAAAATTGTAAGTTTAGTCCAATGTTTCTTTTATAACTTGCATTTCGTTGTAAGAGGGACTAAATCCGCAATGGCGACCTTGGAATGATTTAAGAAGTTGGACCGAACTTGTGATTTTGTGTAAAACACAGGGACTAAGTTTGTACTTTCTCTTATCTCTATCTCTGGTGTTACGCTTTTTTTTTTTTTTTTTTTTTTTTTTTTTCTACAAAATTTAATTTCTCTTTGTGAACTCAAGTTTTATACATTCTTTTGTCTCCAAATGTATAGTTATTTTTTTTCATCAATTTTTTAATTATTTATTTGCTTAGCAGATAACAAATTAACAACCGTTTTATTTATGTTTATAATATATTAAAAAGTAAAGAAATGAACATTGATAAATAAAATTTTATGAACTTCATCGGAATCCATATAAAACATCGATTAATGCATAAATATGCACGTGAACTCTTTGACTGAGAAACCATGTTGTAACTTCAATTAATGCATTGCTTCCATGGAAAACTTCACTTTAACACTTTGACATCTACAAGTTGAAGTTATTATATTTATTTTCTTGACAAGATTTGTCATTCGTTTTTAAACTTTAAAATGAACCAAAAAGCTATCAGCTTTAATTAAAGAAAGCCCCCACCATACCCCCTCCATATCCATTCAAGAATCAAAGAACAATGCTATTGTGATATTAAAGCTTAAGAACTACCCATTTGGGCCCACAAAACGAACAACATGAGACATTGCGTAATTTTCCCAATTATAATGGTATTATTCAAATGCAAATCAATTTGTATTTGAATAACACGACAACTAGCGTATGTTGGATGAGTACTTGAATATGTTGTGAAGAACTTTACACGGAAGTCTTTAAAACGTTTGCTATGATATCATTCGGTCTTATCAAGATAATATTTTTGCAAAACAACCAACGCCATTCAACTTTTGTACGTTGTAAATGAATACATGCGTGTATTTCTTGGAATGTTTGGTAGCATGAACTGCACATATTGAAATTGAAGGAATTTGCCGACAGAATTGGGAGACCAAATGATAGTTGAAGTAGCGAAATCGCAAGATTTATGGTTCTAGCAATGAGTTAAATGTTCTCTACCATTTACAACTATTCATCGCAAAACTTATCAGGAAAAGAACCCAAATGTTCATTTTATTTGACATGAGAAGAATTCAAGCATGGTTACTATTTTGTAGATGAGATATACCAAAGTTGGGCACCTTTTGTAAAATCACTTTCACATCCAGTTGTCGACAAAAAAAAAACGGTTAAAGGTGGCACAAGAAGCAATAAGAAAAGACATAACAAACTTTTGGTGTCCTAAAAAGTCATTGGGGGCATAATACAACTCCCCCACATGGATAATGCGTAGTAACAAAACTAGAGATATAATGTATCATTGTATTATATTCACAATATGATACTAAAAGATGAAGTTATATGTCTGGTTTATGATACTGATCTCCCCATTGAGATAACAATAATCGAATATATAATATATAATCCTTGAATTGTGTGATGAAGAAACTTACTACCAACTTCGCTCGGTTCTTATTAATCATATTAAACATGACTACATAATTAGTTGAAAATCTATCCAATTTAAAATTATTACATAGCATAAAGTAATTTTATAGAAAATCTAGTAACTTATGGTTAGTTTATACTTTTTGCCGTCTAATCTCACACTGTAGAACTATACTAACATCACACGATCTATTTTATCTTAATCCAATATTTTTATTATAGAGCATTTTACAAAACAATTTGGCGTTTTAGTAAATTTAGCTACTACCTAATCGTATTATTTGTAACTAAAATTCATGTATTTGATCTGAAAATTGAAAATTTTATTATTAACATTATGTTCTTTTGCTATGAAAAGAAGACAAATGGTAAATGATATGGCCGTGGAAAACTAGGCGTTGAACTTTGAAGTGAGGAAGGACAGACGCAGGTCCAATGGTAATCCTTTATCCGTTTATATATATATATATATATATATATATATATATATATATATATATATATATATATATATATATATATATATATATATATATATATATATATATATATATATATATATATAGGGGACAGTTCACTTGAGAATAAAAAAAAAGTAGAGATCTTGAGATTAAATTTCTGGCACATATTTCGCATTTACCGCTCTAATGTTCCAGCGTACCAGCAGCAACGATGTATGCCTAATCATAAATGATTATATGGCAGAGAGGTATAATCATACAGGATTATACATGTTTATACGTATATGCATAATCATAAATGATTATATATATATGTCTGTTCACAGATTGAGTAATCATAAATAATTATTACAGTTAGTCGCAGAAGAGGTGGTGGTGACAGAGGTGACGGTGGTATAAGTAATGGAGGTGACAATGGTGGGGTCGACTGGTGTCAGAGGTGGTGGTAGTGGTGGTGGCGGTGGCGGTTACGGTGGTGGGGATGGTGGCGGAGGAGAAAGGAACGAGTGGCACTGTGTAATCATTTATGATTACACCAGACCTGTCGCGCCAGTACATCGAAGGGTTAGAGCAGCAGATGTGAAATACGTGGCTGAGGTTGAATCTCGAGATCTCTATTTTATTTTTAATCTCAACGGAACCTACCTCTCTCTCTCTCTCTCTCACTCTCTCTCTCTCTCTCTCTCTCTCTATATATATATATATATATATATATATATATATATATATATATATATATATATACTGTGTTATTGTATGCATAAATGTGGACCAATCAATTTTATTTATTTTAAAAAAGTGATTAATATATATTATTTAATTAAATATAATTGAAAATATCATCTAATTTAATTAAAAGAGTATTTTAGTCAATTAATATAGATTTAATAAAAAAAAATTGCATATTTTAAGGGATCATAGATTCTATTAATTTTATAAATCCGATTTTACGAATTATAATTATTTTAATTCGGACATTCTGACAGAATATGTTTATGAGTATATTCAAAAAATAAAAATATTCTTGAACCATAAATAATAAAAATATTCTTGAACCTATTTCTTGATCATGACTTTAAAAACTTCTTGTAGAATAACAAATTCTTGAACAAACAATTGAAGAATAAAAACAAAAAAATACATTATTTGTGTGAAAACAACAAACCCAATCACCTCTATAAACACCCATCAATTTTCTGTCAAAAGCAAACCCAAAATATCTAATTTGTTCATTTCATAGATTCATGATAAAACAAACAACATCCCAAAACACCATTTTTACCTATTTTGATTAATTGGAAAGAGAGAGAGAGAGAGAGGGAGAGAGAGAGAGTAAAAAGAATATTCTTTTACCTGTTGATGATCGATTGTCACACCCCCGAACCAGACGACGGAAACGTCCGGGGGCAGTTGTGACTCAATTGAATACCATCACAATGAATATACATGAAACATAACATCATTCATCACCAACATTTGAGTATTACAACTGATAGTGTTTACATTCATTACATTGTCTCAAAACATTACATTCTCAAAGTAACTGTTCGATACTAATTAAACCACAGCAAAACGTCATAGAGTACAATTCATCCTTCACTTTATCTGTTACCTGAGAATACAAGTATTTTGAAAAACGTCAACATATGAAATGTTGGTGAGTTCATAAGTAGTGTTTGAAATCCAATGTTTTGTATTGTTTGAAAACCACCAGAAAATCCGATATTTTCTGAAAATAGTATAGTCAAAAAGGTGTGAAGATTCATAAGTATGCTTGTTTGTTTTCTATAGATGTAGGCGTACGATTTGTAAAACTTGTTATGTAGTTCGTAGGTGTAATAGTTGAAAACCCTAGGAAAACCCAACATTTTCCTATCATTTTGCTTTAATTAGTTTATGTGTTGTTGTTTCGTTACGTTAGAGGTATTCGTTGAGCTCCGGCGACATTGAGTATACAGTGGGTGGTGAATTGTTGTAACGTCCGTTAATGAAAACGTCCAGTCGACAACCGTAATAGCGATCCCTTAGGTGTCACTCGCACTTATTCACACAACTCAATCCTCCCGGACTTGTGTAGTCCCACGACCGAGGAGAAAAAGTGAAGGTGCGAAACCCTCGGTATTTCCCTACGTCGTTCAAGACCATTGCAATTGCGAAGGGCCCGAAGCCCAACCCGCAATCGTGAGTTCCCGACTTTACTAGCAGCACTGAGGGACCCTTGGGGACCAGCAGCATGTTTTCCATTGAAAGTCCTCTTACACGCGGTCGAGTCGTATTAGACCCAACTACATGTAAGCAAGTGTCCTTTGGGCCTAAAGATCATGTCATCGGGCTAGCTAGGCTCGACAAGCATGATTTGCAACTTTTGGGCCTAAGGAGTGTACGTCGACGTATTGAGTAATTCCACGAGAGTAAAGAGTTCCAAGAGTTTCATATGTGTATTGAGCGTTATAGTGTTAGTAGTTTTGGATTTGTTATTGATTCGAGACCGAATCAATTCGTTTGATAACGATTGTTGGTGATATTGTGTATTGTAATTTATCGAGAGTCGTAGTGTCAATCTTTGTTCACAACGAGTGTATTGAATTACCCTTGAAAATTTTCTGTTTACAACCCCTCTTAATTTTGTAAATTTACTTTTTCACCCCTTTAGGTAAAATAATTTCCGGTTTAGTCCTTAAACCATTTTTCTTGACATTTTAACACCAAAAATTATTGAAATTAATATTTTTCAGCATATTTTTCATTTAAAACAGTTTAAGTCCCTGAAATTGCAGTTTTCTCGGTTATAACCCCTCTTTTTCGCAATTTTTACATTTTTGGCCCAATTTGGAAAATTTTTGCAACTTTGGTCCTTTTTAAATTTGAAAAGCGTTTTAAACCTTTGAAAAGTACATGTAACACTAATAGTCCACTTTTTACAGGAAAACACAGTTTTGGCCCTCCAAAACAGAAAATTTCGCATAATGGGCCCTATTGGGCCGAAATTGTCATTTTTAGCCCATTAAGCTTGAAATTTATGTTTTTGATCTCCAAAAGAGTATATTTTCAGAAAATACATTATGGAATCTGTTTTGACTCATCTCACCCATCAGATTTCGAAATTTTCATTTTGGGCCCTTTAACTTTGTATTTTTAACATTTATGTCAAAAAAAATGAGTTTTTAGCCCAAAGT